TTTTACTGCAAAATTATTTTAGTGGAATGTGGAAACACATTCAAGAAAACACCATGATCCAAAGCAAGGAGAAGATTAAAAAATTCTCTCATCTGGTAACATCTCAGTACCTTTCCTCAGAAATAAAATTTGACATCATTGTAATCTAAGTTTGCCAAACAAAAAAAAAGTAATAATTTCTAACTAAACCCAGATTTTTATATCAGACCATGTTAATTCTGCAGTCTGCCATTCTTCAGTGTTAGTGAGCTGCTTATTCCCATAAATCAAACACTTGCAGAGAACTGTAAAAGACAATTTACTCTACTACAATTCAACTCAACCAACTAGAGAATGTTAAATGAATTTAGGAACAACAGTCAATATACAGATCCAGAAACAATTTTATTTGTTTTCTGACAAAAAGTAGTTACAAAATGCTTTCAGATTCTCTTAAACTTCCAATTCCTCTGGCCTCATAGATGTGACACATACCAGTCACATCACACACTTCCCTACTTAGTCACGGGCTTGCAGTGAGGAGGAGACAAAGACCAGCCTTAGAACCCGAAAATACTTCCAGCAAATGGGATTGCTTTGAACTGGCATCAGTTCTTATCTTGTCATCTTACCGCAGTGAAATAGAAACTTATCAAAGGATTAGCAAAAATTAACAGTTATCCATATACTTACTTGAAAAATGCAATAAGGAGATTAACCATAATTATGTACTGTACAAAGAGGTAGACAGCTTGAAGAAATGGGGTCAACCATGTTCCTGGGCCACAGAGATGAGCAACTTTTTCATCAGAATTATTTGCACATACTGTGTTGGGAGTGTTGGGAAAAAAAGACTCAGAGAAAATACATACAACTTTTAGAACTCCCAGCAGGTATAGATGCGGGGGGTGGGGGGGGGAGATCACTTACAAAGACTGCAACAACCAACTATCATGCGCTGGTTTTGCAATTCAAAATGTCTCCATGCATTTAGGAATACAGTAGAAAAATACAGGAGACAGTTTCTGGTTAATACTATGGTATAATCATATTATCGGATTAAAAAATAGCATAATACACCACCACAGCCAAAATTTTGGCATGACAGCTGTGGGAGAAAATTGCAAAGTCTTGCTAGGAAGAGCCTTGTGAGAAATTGTGATTAAGTAGAGTTTTCATTCCAAGCCATTCAAGCTTTATAAAGAATAATGAAAAAGTCAAGTCAAGAAGTTAAACAGCTGCAACCCACAAAGAGGAGATAATCCAATGAATGGAATCGATGTCAACAATACTGGGCATTTCATTTCATAAAATTAGAATTTCATAAGACCTTGAGAAGATCTTAGAGTAAGTTTTCTCCTTACTTTCTTCAAAATTGCAGTGTCTTACCATCAATTTCATAGGCATACACTTCACCAAAAATCATCCAGTATGGATGAAACACAATATCTCTAGCAAGAGTCCAAGAGGGTGCCTCATCAGGATACAATATTGCCTTCCTGGGAACACCAAAACTGAGTAGTACAAGTGCCATAATCACCACAATGTAAAACATGTTGGCCACCTATTAACGCAAAAAAGTCAGTTAACCCACAAGGTCATAATTATGATTTCACAACTTTAAACACTTCTACAGTGACAGTGTAAGCTTGATGAATTCTATGTATTATATAAGGAAAAGAGTCTAGGACACTTATATTTCAGTCAGAAAATTTTGTTAAATAACAAACCCTGTAAAAATGTTTGGTTTTTTTCCTGTCCTTTCTTACAGAGTATTTAGTATCCTTGGCCAAAGGCAACTGAGAGTATCTCCTTTGTAACTCAAATACTTATTATGTGGATGAGTAGCAACTGTTTATGTTCATAAAGAGTAGCAACTCTTTACGAGAAACATTCCTTCCTCATGCACTCAATAGCTGCACAAAATGCAGAGTAAGTTTTCCAAGGGCTGAAACACAGAACCTATGCCTCTTGCAAGAAATCAAAGTGAGCAACGAGCAACTTGCTGCTCTCATTTTTAAGGAATGAGAGGGTTCAACTTTGTAGGAACCATTTCGTAGGGGGAAGAAAAACAAACACCCCTTCCACCTTCATATATACCGTTCTCAAGCCTTAAAACCTTTTTTAACATTTAGAGTAGCTCACTGATGGTAAAGCTAAGTTACTTATTTTTAAATTTAAACAGTTTGAATATTTTTTGTGTGAGAGAAGACAAGAAAAGAGCCACAATCTACTCCCAGTTTTCCACAGCACAAAACACAAAGGTGCTTTAGGACACAAAACAAATTAAAGTCTTGCACTAGAGAGTGCAAACGCAAGAAAACCAAGACTACAAATAAATCTCAGACCCAGAAGGGAAGCAATGCTAGATGAATCAAGAGAAAGGCATCACCATATTCATTCAAGTCTCTGACATCTAAGAACAAAACAGATCAGAGAAGGAAGATTTGCCAGCTTTTTACAGATACGTGACAGAGAAAGCTCCATAATAAAGGAAGCCTTCTCATCAGTGCTTGTTTTGAAACGCATTGTTATATTCCAGCTAGCTAATTCTGCACACCGAGTTGTTGACATATTACACCAGGATGTGCAACCTTTTTTCTGAATAAAACTTGGAGAAAATTTGTAAACAGATGCAGCAAGAAAAACATAATTTCAGTTGGGAAAAAAAAAAAAAAACAGTAACAAAAATAGTACTTACCATTTTCCCAATCATCATAACATAAGGGCCAGCCTGTTGATTTACAGCTAGAAAATCCAGTAATCGCACATACCAAAAAATTATATTGAGACAGTATGTTATTCTTCCAGCAACAAAGACATAATTTTCTCTGTAAGTGTTTTCACCAAAATTCCCCTTCGCTCCAAATCTTAATGCAAACCCGATGAAGAAAGTGACAATGGCAACTGTGTCACTGATATTGAAGTAATCACTGAACCACACCTTAATCTTCTGATTAATCTTCCCAGCCTCCGACATAAAAATCTGCAATAAAAATAAAAGTCAGATCTGCTCACATTTATTGCACATGGACCAACACTGAAATATATGAATCGGTAACTTTTAATCTTAATCTATTCAAATGGATAACTTTTACACTGAGGAATCAAAACCAGCGTTTAACTGTGTCAGCTTCACAACAAGGACAAGGAAGATGTATGTTTCCTTCTGTCTGAACAATTTATGACGGTATTTTGGTTTTGGGGTATTTTTGGTGTTGGTTTTTTCTTTTGAAACAGTTACAGAAATGAGCCCTACTTTCTGCCCCTTCAGTGAGGCCTGAGGTACCAGGTTAATGAACTAAATTTCTCTCTCTCACGTAAAAATTCTTACAGAACTTCTCAAAAGTCTCTTGCTGACCAGCAACGCTGTAGCTGTGATAGCTATCCTGTCTCAATAAAGCTTTTTTTGTTTTGTCATCTCGGTCATAGCACAGTGGTAGAGTTTGACCGACACTAATAAATACATGTTTCACCCCTCAGACAAGTAACGTTGTTCATTTCATTACAACTTGTAGACAGTGAGTTACAGATACACACACATTAGAAAAAAAAAATCAATTTGGGGGCAGGCGGAATTTTAACACACACAAAAAATAAATCAGACCAAGATGTCATTGCCAGTTCCTTGAAATTTAGGAGGACAAAACCCACCTCCTTTTAATAGACCTCCATCTCTTCCCCATTGGAAACACTGGTATTGAAACTAGCAGCCTATACCAAAGTTTAAGATAAAGGTATTACATCATGTACTTTGATGCTTGAAGTTCCTTAGGTTCCCTTGTTTATAAACACACTTTAAAGCATACTGTTTTAATTGACAAAGCTAAAATCCCAGATTGTTACAGGCATACCTCACGAATTTTCTCAATTGCTGATGTGAAAATGTAAGCAATAACAATCCACTCTTGAACGGACGGTAATTCTTCCATTTTTACAAGAACCACAAATGTGTAGAGCATGAGGAATCCTAAGTATGCCAACTAAAAAAAGCAATGAAAATTATACATATAATTACTGAAGGGTTCTTTATAGATGTGCATGGAATCTTTTGATGTGGTATACAATAAAAGCTGCAAGTAGGATTACCGTACTATGTTTACCCCTTTAAGCAGACAAGTTATTATTTATAAGGGGATACAAACATTTTCTTCTTAGAAGAGGAAAGATAACTGTAATAAGCTATTTATTATTAGCAAAGCTTCGTTCTTATTACAGCTATTTTTCCTTTAAAACAAATTTTAGAGTTTCTATTACAGTAATTTAAACACATCTGTGCATGAACACTTTAGCCTAATAAATGGTTATAGAATTCCTGCTAGCAACTGATGAAATTAATTACTCAGGCCAGAATAAAAATGTTCATGCTATTACTCTCT